ATAAAATGGCTCCATCTGTGTTAAAATATATTTTTAAAAATGTGCAAAACTAAACATCCTACAGTATTTTGACAGTCTATACTTTACAGTTAAAATATATGTTTATTAAATACAGTCTAATGTTACAACTAACGATTAATTGTGGTATTTAGCCTATAACGGTTAGTTTGATGATTAATCCCCTGGACACCCTTATGTCCTAGTCACATGACCAATTTAGTGGGTAAGATTTGCTCTTCGTAAAAATCTATTCCAAATCATGTCAAAATTAGACTTCAGGCTATACATCAAATTTTAAATTGTGTTGATGGATAAATAAATTACAGAACTTTTTTTTAAAATCATCATATTTGAAGTGGAGAGGAGCACCGAGTGGACTGACCAGAGAAATCTCCAGTCAGTCCGCCTGGTGGCATTAATCATATTAATCGTCAAGTGCCAAAAAATAATCAATTAATATTTTTCTGACGATTAATTGCACACGATACGATTATGCCCAACCCTAGTACGCAGTCAAGCCACAGTACATTTTTTAATTTATTTTATTTATTTACCGTTATTTAACCGGAAAGTCCCTTTGAGATCTGAGATYTCTTTTTCAAGGGAGGCCTGGGCTTGAAGGCAACCTATTGTACATGTTTTGTGGGGTGGGGGAAACCGGAGAAAACCCRCGCAAGCATGAGGAGAACCTGCAAACTCCACACAGAAAGACCCCAGGTCCGAACCAGGGATCGAACCCAGGACCTTCTTGCTGTGAGGCGTCGGTGCTAACCGCTGAGCCGTCATTCTGCCCAAATCAAGACACTTGTATAAATAAAACATGACCTTATTGTGGAACAAGAAGTCATTTTTTGCATTAAAAGAAAGGCAGGATTTGCTTCTGAAGTAAAAACATTGAGTCTTTACTAGATATTAAATATGTGGTGTGAAGTAGAGACATTTTTTACATAAAATTTACGTAGGAAAAATAAAATGAAGGATAGACCAGGACCAGAGATTGTGACAACAGCTACWGAAGCTGTAAAATCGCTGTAAGTGTCTTCCTCTGGCTTCATCAAATAAATACAGTCAGCCCCACGCTGTTTATTAAGTTTATGGAAATCTACAAAATTTACGTAGGGAAATAAATTACAGATGGGGAATGAAGATTGTGACAACAACACACAACAGCTACTGAAGCTGTAAAACTGCTTCCCAGCGGCTGAAGTCCAGCTAAGCAGGTTGGTGGCATCAAAATAACTCCCTCACCCTTTGGTCAGCTGCAACAACCTGTTGAACATGTGCAGTAGTTTCATGTTTCACCACCGCACCTCAGAAATGCTTCAAAATATAAAAAGAACGAAGTGGAGAGAAAGGAGAAAATGAGTMAACAGTTCAAGAGGAAACTGTGGTTAAAAGAGGAAARTTCAMGTCACCAGTTTAACAGAATTAATCAGCCTTTTTCCCTGCTCCTTATTTCACATAGGTAAAACAAAAAACTATTAATAATTATCAATATTGGCTGATATTAAACAATTATATTGTGATATTTTTCAGCCAAAACTATATATTTAAAAGTAATGAACTGATCCTTGAGGTGCTGGTTTTAGTTATTTAGAKAGGATTTGAGGATAGACCTTCATCTTGGATCAGTTTTTCAATCATCTGGTTGTTTTGATGTCTGATGTTAATAATCCTCTGCATCATATAATCAACTGTATCAAGAGTTTTTAACAGATTCATAAAATGTGTTAATGTTGAACTTTATGTAAAAAGCCAAAAACATCATTTACTATTAAGGTTTCAGTGGAGGCAGGGCTTATAAGGCTGAGTTTCACCTGAAACTCATCAGACTGAAGAAGTCTCTTGGAGGAGAGACGAAACGTTTCACTAAAGAACCACCCATCCAGAGGACCTACTTATTTTTTCTTTTTGATACTTTTAAGTAGGAATGCGCGATACAAACGATATATGGTAGAAACAATATAAATTTGTCCWATGATAGAGATCTGTAGTCTACCGGCCAACCGCACAATTGTTTTTGATGATGTAACCGGCTGGAGTCAAAACAGAGGGAGCGTGGCTGAGAGCGCAAATGAAGAGGAGGAAAAAACTTATCCTGACCTGGTTCTGGTGTGTAAAAATGAACACCGAACTGTTTACATATTTACGTGACGGCGCGTCTTCCGGTCGGATGCCGACTGACCACGTTGCCTGCAGCAGGAGGAGCGCGTGCCACGGCATGTGTGAGGGGCTCGACACAGGGGAGGCGACGTTGCTCGCTCTCCATTCATTTCCACGCAGCGAGGCGACTGTCAGTGCAGGTGAAGTCAGTGCTCAGGTGGGACGCACAAAAATCAGTCTGGACCTCGTTTCTCCTGCGGTCATAGCGCGACGACGCACGGCCGAATGCATGCGCACTCCAAAGCGCGACTATAATGATTGTCACCCCGCCAGAGCGCGCACAGATTAAACAGGTGGAGTGCAGAAAAAATAATCTGCAAAGTGTGTAGAAAGGAATAAATACAAGCAATTTGTTTTACCACCTTAAAACGAAGCAGGTTATTCCAAACACAACATCCAATGGATGCAGATATCTGTTACATTAAAGTTATTGTGTGTGTGTGTGTGTGATATATATACAG